ATGCTACCAATAAAGATTAGTGAAGAAAAGCTTAAGGACTAGTAAAATACAATCAATAACTTTTTAATGTAGATAGGAAGTTAATAAGAGAAGGTGGTATCGCAAAAAGGTGGAGGTTTAGGACTTCGTAATTTAAGGTTATATTATATTGCCAGTCAAATAAGACATATTTCACATGTTATATTTCAATCCAATAAACTAATTTGGTTGAATGTGGAAACACAAGAACTAGATTGAATCTGGCAAATCTTTGTACAAGATAATTAAAATGTAGTATAAAAATAGAGAATTCCTTTCTTAGAAATATGTTTTTAACAAATTGGAATAGATATAGATACAGTAACTATTTATCCCACCAGTTTCTCCATTATATCCAGTGGCTGAGTTAGAGAAATTGATTGGCAATCTATTAATAAAGAAACCCATTTTTAGGATAAAGGATTGGTTAGAAAAATCAAAGAATAAAGAAGAAATAAAAGAAGGATTAGGTCAAGATGAAGTTTCTTTGTATAAGAGTATTCAATTAGAATAGTGGACAAAGAATTTGATGAAAAGAAACAGCAAATGTAGGAGACTAATGAAATATGAGGAAATTAAACTGCAAAAGGAGACTGAAGGTGATAATAAATGGTGAAGGATATAGTAATTATAATTTATAATATACTATTGAAAGCAGAAAATCAGGAGGACTTACTTAAATTGTTATGGGAATTTGTTATGGGAGAAGAAATAAATTATAAAGCTTGGAAAAAACATATGAAACACTAAAATGTTAAAATCAATGTCAATAAGGATAAAAGAGAATTTTTGTAACTTAGTTTGGTTACTATCTCACTGGAGTTATTTAAAAGAAAAGAAACTATCTCACTGGAGTTAAAAGAAACAAATTTTAATGCTTGGAAAAATATATAGAATATGAGAATATTAAAATCAATGTTAAAAACAATAAAAGATTTCTTATATAAGTTAGTTTGAAAACGGTACTTAATTCTAGGAAAAAGTAATCAAATAGATGGCAATTATTCTAAGATGTGCTGTAGAGGGTGCTGGAAAATAGTACATACTTTCATATATGGTGGGAATGCAAGTACCGGTATATACTGAAATTTTGAAAATGTGTTTTTAAGAAAATAAATGAAATAAGCGATTTAAATTTACTGTATGTCCTGTAGTTTTTTTTATCAATATATGAGAAGGAGGTAAGCAACTGACAACTAGAGAATTGGTTTCTAATTTGCTAACAACATTGAGATTAAGGTATTCATGAAGGCTTAATGTACTGTATTCAATTCAGTGAGATTGATTATTTATATTAATTGGAATACAGCTCATAATATTCTGTTAAGTGAATGGTAAAGAGAAGTCTGGGATATAACAATGTCAGCAGAACACCCTTATTTGCAGGATCGGTATCCACTGATTCACTTATCTACAGTACGGTCTGAAAATATTAAAAATATTTAAAGAAAAATCCAATACAATGAAGCCACCATAAGTGGCCACTAGAGGAAGCCAGGGATCATGCTGTGTATAGCGGTCACTAGAGAAATATATTTCCATGATGTCATTGACAAAACTGGCTATGGGAGGGAACTCACTATATCACTTGGTAAATATGTGACATGTGGGCATTCACTGTTATAATAGTTTTCGCTGTAATCTGTGTTTTCCTGCACAGTGTGGGGGCTGCACACTAGTTTTTACTGTGAAAAGTCACTCCCGTCCACTGTTGAAACCTGGGCATCGAGGCTCAGAGACAAATCCAGAAGCACCTCCAAGCTGTGCACCTCTGTTTTTAGAGTGACTACAACCCCATCTAGCAGAGGCTGTATCCTTATTTCTTGGTCTGCCTTTCTACTGCCCAAGAGCATCTCTGTTTTATCTGGATTATGTTTCAGTTTATTTGCTCTCATCTAGTCCATTACTGACACCAGACATTGATTGAGAACTGAAACAGCTTCCTCAAATTTAGATGGAAAGAAGAGATAGAATTGGGTGTTATCACCATTGTGGTGACAGGGAACCCCAGAACTCCAGACAACCTCTCCAAGCAGTCTCCTGTAGATGTTAAATACCATAGGGGACAGAACAGAATCCTGAGAGATACCACAAGCTCATGGCTAGGGTGTTGAACAAGAGTCCCCCAGAACTACTCTTCCAGGAAGGAGTGGAACCACTGTAAAACAGTGTCTCCAAGTTCCATCCCTGAGAGGCAGCCCAGAAGGATACCATGGTTGATGGTATCAAAAGCCGCTGAGAGGTCCAGTAGAATCACGTGTTATTAAAACATTTATAGCCTGCCATATAGCATAGGATCTCAGGTTACAAAGCCGTATAAAACAATTGTAAAACATAAAATGTTTAAAACAATTTTTAAAAATTCAAACAAGACAAAATTAAAAAATCCAAACTTTAAAAAATGTTAAAAATAAACCCTGCATCAGCCATGATCCTCAACCATCAAATGCCCTAAGTATGCCTTGACTGATTGCCCAATTTGGGCCAATGTCAGTGCCAATTGAGCTTCCAAGACTAAGAGTCTTGCTCAGTATAATACAGTTTCCTATGTTCATTTGCCCAAATGCCGGAGTTCATTTGCCCAAATGCTAGAATGTAATCCTCCAAAATATTGGGGTTCAAATGTCCAATTACCATGAAAGGGGTTTTCTGTATGCTGGAGAGATGCCTGCCATAATAAAATGAAATTCATACAGTTTTGCAATTAACTATTCTCTCCTGCTGCCAAACATATCACCTCCTTATTCTTTGGGGTCTCAGTACTGCTGTTTTCTTACCTCCTCGCTAAGCTCATAACCCACATCTCAGGTGCAAACTATTGTGGAGAAGCTTTCCCATATTAACAAATGGACTTTACAAATTAGAACCATTGAATGGATTATTTCTGTGTATTTGATTAAATCCATGTTCTTCCCTTCGCAAAATCAACTGGTGCACAGACATTTCATTCAGATTGCAAAAACCTCAGTAAATTAATTTAGCTAATTTACTAATTATGCATTCGTTGTTTAGACATCTGGCTACTGAGCCAGAGATTGGGGGTTTGATTCCTCACTGTGTCTCCTTGACAGGGGCTGGACTCGATGATCCATAGGGCCCCTTCCAGATTGTGCTATAAAGCCCTTAATAGTTTGGGGTGTTATTATTCATCCGACCATCTTTCCTCAGAACATCAGCTTGTCCCATCCATTTGTCACTGGACTTACTTTTTTGGCTTGTTATGCCAAGAAAACAGTCACCAGAAATAGTGCCTTCTTGGTGGTGGCCCCTACTTTATGGAATGGACTCCTGGTGGAAGTTCATCAGACCTCCTCCCTCTCATCCTTTAAGAGGATGCTAAAGACATTATTGTTCCAGGAAGCATTGAAGGGCATCCGCTGTTAAGTCTCTTTCCATATGTGTTTCCAGGAGTCTGCCATCATCTGGTGTTTTATTTTATGAAAGCATTTTATTTGTTTTGTTGGGTGGTTGATTTTTATCTTTGTAAACCACCCAGTGTTCCACACTAAATTAATGGTATATAAATTTACAAAACCAATCAATCAAAATATCTCTACTGTTAACAAATGAAAGCTTCTCTTTTAGGAGCTAACACTTATTTTCTGTGCAGAATATCAGGGTTAAATTAGTTAGTAAAATCTAGTGCTAGATGCTAACTCTTCACGGGTGCTGAATGGCACAATGGCATGTTCCTTGTGTGTCAAAACCAGTCTGCCTAAGAAACAAACTAGTAGGCTGAAGCCCTTGTTCATTATGTGCCTTCTTACTCATAGTAGGTTTCTCTTCCTGTGGTTCCTGACTGAGTCATAACTAGCAGCATCTGCTGGATAAATCTAGGATTGCAGCCAATAAGAATTTACCTGCTGGAATGCTGGCACAAACAGGACCAGCTTCTCTTTTCCAAGGCAACAAAGTCCACTGAGTGCAGCTCTAGAGATGAATTTGTACATGGATGATCAAAGATGAATGTCCTGGTGGGGCCAGCCATTGCTTAGCCAACCCTTTTCAATGCCTGCCTTGGCTCCGAGGCATCTCATTAAAGGTAATGCTGAGGAGCCCAAACTTAATTCATAGCCCTGGTTTTATTTCATTTTTTATTTCTTTTTTTTTATTATTTTTTTGCAGGGCAAGGGGAAGAAAATACATAAGAGAATGTCACAAGGGGAAAACAATAAAGAATGAAAGAGACGGGTGAAGGAGAGAAGAATTGTGTTGTGATGTGATTCATCTTGGTGCAGTTTTAACTCTCCCTTAACACCCCTGGAACAGTCAAGGCATTTTGCTAATTTATTCCCTCGAATAAATAGTTGTTTCTTTCCTTAAAGGAGCAGCTATTCACTCCTCCATATTCTTCCTGGGTGCCAGCACTGCATTTTAACCATCATTTCTTTGTAGTGCTTGAGGAGCAGTAGCAGTACTTATATATTGCTCAGGACTCCTCAGAGATTTGTTTACTAACTTCATCTCTCTGGTTTCTTACGCCCCCCAAATCTCTCTCTCTCTCTCTCTCTCTCTCTGTGTGTGTGTGTGTGTGTGTGTGTGTGTGTGTGTGAGAGAGAGAGAGAGAGAGAGACCATTTCTCTCTTTCTTAACTGCCAGGACATGGCCTTAGGCTTCCAGGGAATTGAGCGCTCCCTCGCCTTTGTATCATCAATAAAATAAGATTCCCGGCTCTGATCCTCCTGCAAAGAAGTAATCCCAAATAAATTCTTTTCTCTAGTAAATGTTTGAAGCCGCCTTCATGGAAGAGAAGTACAAATGAATCCGCGGAGGGCTTCCCCACAGAAAACGCACAACGGGCACAAGCATGCTGCTTCCTCACATCTCTGTCTGCCCATAGAGCGCGGGCGCGCGACACACACACACACACACACACACACACACACACACACACACACACACACACACACACACACACACACACACACANNNNCACACACACACACACACACACACACACACAGAGAGAGAATGAGAGCGCGTACGTTGCATGCCTTGAAGAAAGTGTAGCTAACCACCTTATTAGTATTCCTCCCTCCACTGTGTTTTACTTGCAGCAAGGGAGGGCTGAGCAAAATGCAGTAGAACAGGGACAGAGACGGAGCTGGCAATCATCTCAATGCAGGCTGAATGGAGGGGGTGGAGGGGGGGATGCCGCAAAGCAAGATTAATAACCTTGCCATAATCCCGTGCACCCAGGAAGGAGATGCCTCTGGTGACCAGCCCGTCCCTCTCGTGATTAAGTAGACTCAGTGAGTGAGTGGCTAGCATGACACCTGGGGATTTGATTTGATTTTTTTTCCGGGGAGGGGGGGCTGCCTTTGCTGTTCTTTGAATTCTCTACCCATCAGGGAAGGTAACAGTGAGACATACCATCTGCAGCATACAGAGCAGCTCTCGCAGGCTACCAGTGACAGTTTTGCTCTCCAGTTTTGGTGGTAAGCAAGAAGAAGATCCTGTGCAAGGGGAGGGGGGGAGAGAGATTTCTCTTCCTTGGGCCACTGGTTTCCCTGCCTCCTCATCTCCTACTTTTCCAGTGATCTTTGCACCTGGACTTACTTTTGACAAAGTCTCTTGGACACCCTTTTTATGGGGCTCGATGAATGGACCCTTTGACAACTAACTAATTCTTGTGCTCCTGCATGGTTTCAAAGAATTCGGGTAAAGCCAGAGGAATTTAAAATTCTGTTGGAGAAGTTTTAAAGGGGAAACTATCACAAAGGTAAGTCCAGAGGCTTTGCCACCTCCTTCTTCCTAATTTTTTCTGTACTATCTGTGTTGGGGCATGGTTTTTCCTCCTCAATACAGACAAAGATTAAAAGAAGTCTGCACCAGATGCCGCGCACGGGAGATCCCTGCAGGGTGAAATATTTGCTATTCACAACTCCCTCATAATCCTCTGTGTCTTATATGGCAAAACACACTCACACACCTCAAAGGATTGTGCATGTTGCTGAAATGGGTTGCTTGAAAGGCTTTATGTGGCCTCTGCAGGGGAAAAAAAGAATAGTTTATGTCCTGTATGCCCACCACCAGCACCATAATCTTCTACCTAGACAATTACTTGAATTAGAACTCTTGTGTTCTCTTAGCTGGCATTGTTTTCCCTTTTTTGTGCATTTAAGTCTGCTCTTGCTACTCTTAGCTAGTGTCTTTTGATAGCAAAATGGAAATTAGTCAGGGTTGATAAACGGTTGCTTCGTATATAAAGTTTCTCTGTGATGTCTATTTGAGTCTGTCTCCACTGTCCTGAATTTATTTGAGATTGCCTTTCCAATTTTCTATCCTTTCTTCTTGGAACTGGATGGTAGTCTCAGAAGAATGTCAAATCCCCTTTCAGTTATTGTGAAAAAGGTGAGGTGTCTATAAGTGAACCTAATTCAACACGTTTAACTTTTATGTCAATCAGATTATGGTCTTAACAGGTGTTGTCCTTGAAGAATATGAGACGCTTAGCCATTTCCACCTTGACATGGTTCTTACAGAAGTGAAATGAGATGCAGAGTGGTGATGCAAAAGACTCCTTCAGAGGAGTATTTTGATTACTGCACTGACTTCAGTTTGGTTTTCTGTGAAGATGAGATGTTTGTCAATATAGGAGCAAGGTTCCTCAACTAGAATTGCTGGTGATGTTTGCTCCCTCTTGGTGCATATGCGACATGTGGGTTATCGGATATCTGTGTATTGTACCTTTCTCATTATGAGACTCGTGAATATTGTTGACTGAATGGAAGACTTATGTGGTTGACTACAGCAAGAGAATGAGACAGAATTGATACTTTTTGTTGAGAAATGCTACATAATGATGACTTCTGCATACTTATCCTGTCAATAAATATAGATTGTGATTGCTACGTTATTGCTTTTTCATTTAATCCATTGCATAAAAAAGTTTCATTTCTTTAAAGGTTGCTGTGCAAAAACATGCAAAACTTACTGAAATGTTATTACCTGGATCAGACCTTGCCATGCTTTGTTTAGCTTGTCTGTTGGTTTCTCCCTGGAGGTTTGTGATGATTTTTGGCTCCCATGTTTCTTTTTGTGTTTTGAAGAATAACATCATGTGATAGTTATATGGAGGGAAGGAAAGAATGATAAACCCATATACATTTTGCTTTAATCGCCTGAAAGCAGGATGTGACCCGCAAGTTCAAGTTGCTGCCTTGGAAGATGATAGTCCAATGAGCCTCTGCTTCAGATGGCATTTACTTTAGATTTGTTTTGCATGTGCTTCCTTCTCAATTGCCTGCACTTGCATCTAGCACAAAGATGACAAATGGTTCCACCTGGTCACTTGGTGTTAATTTGGTGTGGGGGAAGTAAGACATTGAGAGTAGCATGATAAATACTTCAAATGACTCTGCTAAATTCCATTTCTTGGGAGACAGGAATATATAAAATGAGATAAAAGAAATATAAAATGGGACAGACCTCACTTGGTGTTTATCAAGTCCAAAGGTGTGGGAGGCTGGGACAAGAAGAGAGACAGCACTCTGCTTTTATCTAGTAAGGGGTAGTTCTCCTGCACTCAACAGGGCTTTCTTATGAGTTTGTTACATGATGTGAGGGAATTGGTGAATTGTTAATGATGCTGTCACTTGTATCGAGCAAACTATAGCTTCAACCTTTCAAGTAGTGCAATAATTATTACAAGGAAGTTACAATGTTTGCATTCAGGGAACTATTTTGCCTGCTAGTATTAGATACACACTTAATAAATAGCAAGACTTTATTCTGGCACTTTACATTATTTGTGTTTCATTTGTTGTCTGTAGAGTTTCTAATCACTAAGATCTTTGGAAGTCATACTTGAAGTTGACACTCCCATAGCTGGTTGTCTGTAATTTATAGACAGATAATATGTATGTTTCCTGAGAATTAATTCTAGTTGGATGTTATCGGATTTATTTCTACATAAGCATCCACCGGGATTCTGCCTTGAAAACCTAATTGGGTGTCTATATGTGTTCGTTACTTGCATTTAAATGTTGATGATTTTCCTACCACTACTGTCTGTCTTTCGGTTTCCACCAAAGATAACCTGTTGCAGAAGTTTATAAAGGATAATAATAATCAAAAAAGAAAATTGCCAGCTCTTCATTAGTAAACTATCTATTCCATGAAACTCTCCAAATCCATTAATTTTAAGTTTTCAAGAAAATCAGAAAATAGGTTATACCTCAATACATAAGTCTCACTTTATGTTGGGGCACTGGATGAGCTTCCCACGCTAGCATTACTAAAAGAATGACAGTTCCATTTATTATTGTGCTATGGGTACATCACTCTAAGAATTATATAAAAGCTCACCTTTTCATATTCCTGTGCTTGTCAATGCGTTGCTATGGGGAAGACTCTGAGATGACACAAGCAGAAGTAAAGTGATACTGCAGTGAATGTTTCTCAGCAACAATGTAAGGAAAATTAAAACCCCAAGGAGCATTTCTAAATGTTGCTTTAAGAAATCCAATTGACATAAAGTAAACTTGCACTGTTTCTTTCTGTTGAACCAGTTCTTTGTCTCCTCATTGCTGAAATAATTCGGCTCTTCAGGCCCTATGATTTTTGCTCAAAATCGGAAAAAGTTCACATATTTTACACATGAATTCATCCTTTCCTCTAAAACATGCTGAGATGACAACTGGCAAGACCATCTTGGAATGATAAATGGGAGCAGGGAAAGATTTTTATCTAACAGAAATACAAGTCATGTGAGCTGATAATATGTATACATCCACTTAGCTTAGTCATCTTGTTCCTATGGAATATTTTATCCCATTAAAATGTTGATATTGGAATCAGGTGCAAACTCAGTAGATGAGAAGTTGGTATTCTTGGATTATTAGGTATTTGTTCTCAATAACAGGTGCTTTTGGGGATGTAGACTTTATGTTCATAGTTCCCACACACACAATAAAACTCTGTTGTAACGAGGAAAAAATATTATGCAAGTTGTGTTGTTTCAGGTCAGATGAAGTAAGGAAAATGTTTTCAAATTAACAAATCCTATTGCAAGAAATTCTGGTATGAAAAATTACTTGTGCAAGTATTAAGTTATTTCAATATATTAAAACATTTTAAGTATTGTGGGAATAAGGAAAATGGCAAGTTTCCCCAGAATGTATGATTCATTTCACATTCTTGAAACAACTTGTCCATGTCCTTTTTTTTCCTCAGCAGATGTCCAGCATAAAGCTTATTAGGGAGCCTAAATGTAATCTTTTAGCCCATGAAATGACAGGCTCATAAGGACATCATCCAGGTCAACCTAGGTACCTTATTAGTAATACTGTATGCACTTTCATCTGTCTGAACTTCTTGTACTTTTTATTTGCCTGTTCTGCTAGAATTAAGTAAAGTACACATTCATTTTTGCTAAACAAGCTAAAATAAATACAGAAAGCAATAATCCTTAGAGAAGTTCTAGTTATCTTCTGAAACCAGTACAACTTTGCATCCACATTTCTTGGGGCAAAATTTACCAAGAAGCAGTTGTTTGAGGCTCTATATTGCAGGAAAGGCAAAAATGTTCCTGCTTTAGTAGAAGTGTGAGTGTTTCATCTGTACTTCTCACATCTGGTGCTAGAATGCCTATGTTTGTCTGATTCCAGATTAGACATGGGGGCAGATATAAAAATGAATCAGGATATTCTGTTCCAGATCTGTCCCATTAACTAAGCCGAGTAATCTTGTCAGGGTACAACAGTAACATGATTCACAGTGTTTACCTCATGAATCCTATGTGGAAGAGATTGAGGAAGGTGAACCACATTTCATTTGGTGGGCCATCTAACACTCCAGTTGTTGTGAGCCATGCTGAACTAGTTAGACCTGTGTCTGATCCATTACAACACCTCATTTAAATGTGTGTACTTGGTATCATTTAATATATATTATTTATATGCCCTCTGTTTGGAATTTGGCAATAATACATGCTTTATGTAGAGCTACTCTTGAAAAGAGCTCAGAAATTTCAGTTAGTTTATAAGAGAGTGAATAACAGGAACAATACAATCATGTAATAATCCTTCACTGTGTTGGCATGCAAACCATTGTCAGAGAAAGATTCTCAGGGAATGTCTCTTCCCTCTTGTGCCTGTGTGGACCCTGAGTCATCTTCAGAGACCTCCTTCAGATACGTATGCTGATGGAGTTGGAGCTGATGGTTACAAGAGAGATGGTCTCCAATATAAAGCCTTGTTTGTGGAATGTCTCCCTAAGTAAGACTTCCCTGGTGCTGTCAACTTTTTGGTGCCAGCCAATGATGTCCCATCATTCAAAAATTGTTTTGCCTTTCATTGCTTTTTTATTATATCCTTTAGGGTTTTTGCTTTGTTTTCTGCTCCCTTGTTTTTATAAGTAAAGCTCGCTCTTCCTTCCTTCCTTCCTTCCTTCCTTCTGTCCGTCTGAATGGAACAGGAGAAGGTATAATGCTGGAAGACAAAACTTCTTAGCTTCTTCTTCTCTAGCAGTTTTTTTTCCTTTCAAATATGGAATATCTCCCACCAGCAATTTCTCCCCCGATTGGTCTATTAAAAATTATGTACAGTATTGATTTTCTAATCAACATGGCCACTCAAGCTTCTAATTATCTTTAAGTGAAGTATAACAATTTAAAAGAGTAACAATACAAATATATAAAAATATAAAATACAAGAATGATGCAAGTTAGAAGGAACAGAAGATCAAAAGTCAGACAGAGGAAAGGTAACTATTGAAATG